CTGTTGCCGGGGTCGGAGCCGCCCAGGAAGCAGCCCCCGGCCTTGGCTCCATTGCCCGCGCTCAGCGGTGGAAGGCTCAGGGGCACCCACCCCCCCAGGGACCCCATCGTCCTGCTCCTTGCTGGTGCCTGGTTGGCCGGTGTCCAGCAGGGGCTCCTGCTCCTCGTCGCGTTCCCCCAGCCCGGAGCTTTTTTTCTCCTTCCCGCTAAGGGAGTCTAGCATCAGAGTCAACAGACTGTCCTCTGCGTGCAGTGTGCGCAAGTCCGGGGGCCCAGCCTTTCGCTGCTCTCCCCGGACTCCACCTCACAGCCCCGTTTCCCTCTGCCTGAGCCTGGGTCCCGAGGGATTGGCCCAGAACTGGGGTTCGGAGTAGTCCGGACTGAGGCCCAGCGCCGCCGGAGGCCTTGTTTCTTCCGGCTAGGGTAACCCAGCATCAGAGTCAACATTCAGTCCTCTGCACGGGCATTGCGTGCGATTCGGGGGGCCCTGCTTTTCGCCGTTTTTCCGCCTCACAGCCCCGTCTCCTCCTGCCGGAGCCTGGGTCCCCAGGGTCTAGCCCATAACGGGCTCAGCGCTGCTGGTTCGGGGGGCTCAGCGCTGCCAGTTCGGGGGTTCAGCCCAGGCTGGGGGTTTTATTTCCTTCCTGCTAGGGAAGGAAAGGCAGCACCCGGCCCTTTCCTCCTCTCAGGCTGTGACCTCTCCCCGCCCGCGCGCAGCATGTCTCCGTACCTTAGGCTTTTTTTCCCAGCTCCTCTGATTTTCCTTCTGGTTTTCTTTCCTTCTTGTTGTAGAATTTTCAGTCAGTCGACTACCTGTAGCTCTGGGCAATGTCCACTCTACATCTTAGTTGTATTCCATTGAAATTGTTGTGTGCTGCCGCAGCTAGATGTCTACCCGAGCAGCCATCTTGGATCCCCTCTCCTTAATTATTATTTTTTTTAGAACATTCAAGTTAGTAAATTTGTTCATAAGTCTGGGTAATTTTCTATGGGATCATGAAGTCACAGAATTCAAACATCATCAACGCCTTGCTTTCTGTTCTGGATACATTCAGTGCAGGCCAGGCAATGTTCACAACCCTGACTCCTCACTCCCCACCCCACATCCCATCAAATTCATAACCAACCCTTTCCAGTGTTAAAGGGCTGTCCTTCCCTGCAGGTGGCGAGTGCATAACATGCTTAAAAGATAAATTTAAGCCTGCATTTTCACTTCTAGGAATTTATCCTAAGTAGATTATAATGGATTGATTTGCATAAACATATGTCAATAAAGATGTCTATTACAATTTTATAATAGCAAAAAGAAACAACCAGCCTTAACCGGTTTGGCTCAGTGGCTAGAATGTCAGCCTGTGGACTCAAGAGCCCCAAGTTCGATTCGATTCGATTCCGGTCAAGGGCATGTACTTTGGTTATGGGCACATCCTTAGTAGGGCATGTGCAGGAGGCAGCTGATGGATGTTTCTAACTCTCTATCCCTCTCCCTCTTTGTAAAAAATCAATAAAGTATATTTTAAAAAACAACAACCTCACTGTCCAATAGTTTCTAAACACTCCTTCCCCACAAAGGTAAACACTGTCCTAATTTCTATCACCACAGCTTCATTCCTGTTTTTAAACTTTAGAGAAGTGAAACATAAGTATATACTTGTTGGCTCCTGGCTTTCATTCAATATTGTTTGTGCATTCACTTAGGTTGTCATGTGTAATAACAGACCATTCATTTTCATTGCTATGTAGAATTCCATTGTGTGAATACTGAAACTTTTTATCCATCCAACTATTGGTGGGCATTAGTATTCAATTTCCAGCCGTCATGGATAAAACTGTTAGTCTCTGGTGAACATATGTCTACGTGTGTAGATGCAAACCTAAGCACGAAGCTGCTGGGTGAAAGTCTCCTGGACCAGGAGGGTGTTTGCCCTGATCAACAGACCTCAGCCCAGCCATCGGGCGCGGTTAATGATGTCCGCACGTGCCTTGCCCCGAGTTCATTTTACACAGGCCCTCCCTGAAGGACAGCGACTTTCTCAACACCCTGGGGGAAGGGGTGGACGCCTCAAGTGTTATTAACCAGTTATCCTGGGCAAGAACCAGTGGATTCAGCTGCTTTGTCAACCTCAGTCAGGTGTTTTAATGAAACATTTCCCTATTTTTTTACAAACACTATTCTCCTCGCTAGGCAGAGAACAAAGCAGGTGACTCCCCGGAGCCTTGCGCCTGCCGCACCTCCCGGGGGACAGAAGCTGGCCAAAGCCCTCGAGCAGCAAAGCTGCGCCCCACCAAGGGCGCGCTGGGGTGACAGCCCACTCAGGAGCAGGGAGCCAACTTTCCTACTCTCCCAATTTGCAACCAATCAATAGTTTTGTTGTTGTTAATCCTTCCCTGAGGATATTTTTCCATTGACTTTTAGAGAGTGGAAAGACAGGGAGAGACAGAGAAACATCGATGCGAGACACATGGAATGGTTGCCTTCCACACGCACCTGGGGATTGAACCTGCAACCAAGGCATGCGTCCTTGGCCGGGAATCAAACATGGTCAAAGGACCGACATTCTAACCACTGAGCAACAGGCTAGGGCCATTCAATGGGTTTTTAACAACTACATGAAATCATCAACAGACAGAACTCGTTTCCCAACAGTCTGACTTCTCCAAAGGACAGGAATCCTAGCACAGAACACAGGGGCCCAAGAAATGTTCAAACTCGCACTGTTTGCAATGGATGGAAAGAACCTCCCGCACAGGACAGGTGGCCAAAAGCAGAGTCAGTTATTGAGAAATAAAGTCTTTCTCTGGGACTGAAACGGCAACTTATATGTCCATCATTATAGCTAATCAACACCCACACTCACGAATGTTCTAACCACTGAACAAACAGCAATGACGCAGATATGGAAAATGCTACGTAATTATTGGTTACCTCCCCAAAAAGCAACTTCCAAACAACCTAATTGTATAAAATTTTATCATTTATAAAAGGACATTGTCTGTATGTGAAAGTAGAGGAAAAAGGCCTTGCAGGCTACACACTACACTGATAATAGGTATACATCTCCAGAGAGAGAGGTTGTGTATGGTATCAAAGGGATTTTGCTTTATCTGGAATATCCAAGTCTTTTTCAAGATAGTATTTGTGTAACTAAGTTGTGTTAAAAATTTAAGTGAGCCCTAGCCGGTTTAGCTCAGTGGATAGAGCATCAGCCTGCGGACTGAAGGGTCCCGGGTTGGATTCTGGTCAAGGGCACATGCCTGGGTTGTGAGCTCCATCCCCAGGAGGGGGCGTGCAGGAGGCAGATCAATGATTCTCTCATCATTGAAGTTTCTCCCCTTCTCTCTCCCTCCTCTGAAATCAATAAAGAAATTTAAGCAAAGTTTTCCTTATTTCTACCAATTTCTCTTCTACCTGAAGACTGCACCATTCGAAGGGAAGAAAACTATACTTGTCCCTGGCACTGCAGTAGAATTATCTTCTAAGCCTTGGCACCCGACTACTCTCCCCCCTAAGATCTGGAGAAATGCAGGGGAAGGAACAAATGAAGTTCCTTAGACGAGTCCGGGCGCACAGCAGGTTCTCGGGAGGCTCCGGTGAGGGCCGTGAGAGCCCGCTCCCTGAGGACGGCTTCCCGGCCCGGCCCGCGGCTCTGGCCCGCCGGCCCCGCCTCTGAACGGAGCGTCCGGGGCCGGGCCGTCCCCTCACCACGTGGGCGCAGGCCACTCCCGCCGCCGGCACCGGGCGCCTCGTCCCCGCGGCGGCCTCTCGGTGAGACGGCGGGGGCGGGGGCTCTGAGCCTGAAGCCGGCCACCCGGTTCCCCCGCAGCCCCGGAGCCGGCGCCCTTCCCGCAGCTAACCACTGAGGCCGCCGCCTCCGCGCCAGGACGCCCCGGTGCCCGGGAGAGCGCTCTCGCCGGGCCCCGTCACCCCCGCCCGGCCGCCAGCCTCCGCCGCGGCCCGAGGGGCCGCCAGCCCGCGGGCAGGCGCCGGGCCGGGGCGCAGTCGGCGCGCGGCGCGGCCTGGGCCGCGGAGTCCGGGGGCGGCGGGCGGGGCGAGCAAGGACGTGGCCCAATGGGAGCGCGCGGCGGGCGGGGGCGGGGCCTGGCGCGCGGCGCGGGGCGGGGCGGCGGCGGCGCCAATGAGCGTGCGCCGCGTCCGGGGCCGGTGCGGGTCGCCGCCGGAGGTCGGTGGCTAATGTAACAGTTTGCAAACCCGGGCGAGCGGCGAAGGGCGCGGGTGGGGAGCGCTGCCGGCCTCGTGGTTGCGCCGCGCCGTGCTTGTCCGGAGCCGGGCCCGCTGAGCGGAGGCCGAGGTAGGGGGGTGGCGGGCGGGGGGCTGCGCGCCGGCTCTGCGAGGGGGTCGGGAGGGAGCGAGGGCCGCGCGGACTCCGGACGCGGGGCTCCGCGGCGGGTCCTGGGCGCCCACGCCTTCGGTGGGCGGGGGCCGCTCCCGGCCCGGGAGCCGCCGGCTCGGGCGCTGAGGCTTAAGTGGCTCCGGGCTCCCGGACTCGGTGAGCGAGGCACCTGACGTCCCCGCGCGGCGTCCATGGAGGCGGCGGGCTGGGCCACCACCGGAGGGATGCGGAGGAATGGACAGGCCCTGGAGCATCCCAGCCGCCCTCCACGTCACAGCCTCTCCGCTCCTCCAGGCCCGGCCGGCCTTCCGGCCCGCGGAGCTCCGGGGGGGGGAGTGCAGGTGTGGGAGGGGGTCTCTGGCCGCCGCCCAGGTGTCAGACTCGGGACCCGAGCAGCGGGCGGCCGTTACTGCCTGTGCCTGGTCCTCGTGTGTTGTCCTTGCCGTTCCACCTGGGCCTTTGGGCACTTCCGGGGTGACTGGAGGCTTAGTCCTCATCAGAAGGGAGAGGAGGGGGTGCAGGCTGCTCTGCCCCGGGTGAGAATGGAGTAGGTGTGAACCTTAAAGCGGCTCTGTTTTGGGATGAGGTTCCATCTCCTTCGCTCAGAGCATCCAGTTACAAGATTGTTTTTCTACTCCCCAGCGGCGCAATGGCAGCCACAGTCAGGATGCAGAGGAGGCGAGCTGGTTGGGCCTTGATGGCTGTGCTCCTGGCAGACCTGTTGGCACTGAGTGGTGTGTACCCGGCCGGGGATGGAGGAGGAATAGAGTGAAGGATGAATGGGATGGAGGAGGAATAGAGTGAAGGATGAATGGGATGGAGGAGGAATAGAGTGAAGGATGAATGGGATGGAGGAGGAATAGAGTGAAGGATGAATGGGATGGAGGAGGAATAGAGTGAAGGATGAATGGGATGGAGGAGGAATAGAGTGAAGGATGAATGAGACGTGCTGGGAAGGGGCAGTGAGGACGCTTGAGTCGCTGGACCAGGCCTTTTCCTTTGTCTTTTACTACCTCGCCTTCTGGAAAGGGGGTGCTTTGATTAGAGGCGCCTCAGGAAGGAACTAATTGACAAGTGGATTTCCCCTTCAGACATGCTGGCAGTGATGTCTGTGGACCTGGGCAGCGAGTCCCTGAAGGTGGCCATCGTCAAACCTGGAGTTCCCATGGAAATTGTCCTAAACAAGTGAGGCAGCCCAGGGCTGGGGTGGGGTGGAGTGCGGCTCCGAGCTGCTGTGCCCACCGCAGACTTCGGGGTGTGAGTGATGGCCTGTGTGAGGCTCCGGGGCCACACCCTGCTGAGGGCACCTGGGCCCAATGTCTGTTTCTCAGAGAATCCCGGAGGAAAACCCCAGTGACTGTGACCCTGAAGGAAAATGAGAGATTCTTTGGAGACAGCGCGGCTAGCATGGTGAGCTAGCCGCCGCTCCCTTCCCGGAGCGCTCCGCGGGGAGGAGGTGACAGACCCGAGGCCACTCCCTCACCAGCTCTGCTGTCGGGGGGAGATGCGGGGCTTGGATTAACGCTCTGCTCCTTTTGACTCCTCTCAGGCCATCAAGAATCCAAAGGCCACGCTGCGCTACTTCCAGCAGCTCCTGGGGAAGCAGGAGGAGAACCCCCATGTGGCCCTTTACAGAGAGCGGTTCCCTGAGCATGAGCTAGGCTTCGACCCGCAGAGGCAGACTGTGCGCTTCCAGATCAGCCCGTGAGTGCTCTGCTGAGTCGCTGCCTTCCCTTCAGGCCTGGCTGTCCTCCCTCTAACTCCCCCTCCCCCCTCCCCCCCCAGGCAGCTGCAGTTCTCACCTGAGGAGGTGCTGGGCATGGTTCTCAATTACTCCCGCTCCCTGGCTGAAGACTTTGCAGGTGAGCAGCCAAGATGGGGCCGGTGGTGGTCAGGTCCCTAGGGTTCACACGGGGGCAGTTTTGTCTCCCAGGGAACACTTGGCTCTGTCTGAAGACATCTTTGGTTACCCAGCTGGGGAGCTGCCTCTGGCAGTGAGTGACCAGAGGCCAGGGATCCCACCACACACCCTACAATGCACAGGACAGCCCCCACCACAAAGAATGCCCGTCCAGTCCAAGTGTCAGTCGTTCCAAGACTGGACTGCCCTCGCCCAGGCTGGGGCTGGTGGGACCTGCTCTGTTGTCCTCTGTAGAGCAGCCCATCAAGGACGCAGTGATCACCGTGCCAGCCTTCTTCAATCAGGCCGAGCGCCGAGCTGTGCTGCAGGCTGCCCGCATGGCTGGCCTCAAAGTGCTGCAGCTCATCAATGACAACACTGCCGCCGCCCTCAGCTACGGGGTCTTCCGTCGGAAAGATATCAACACCACGGCCCAGGTGAGCCAGGAGGGTCTTCTGGCCGGACTTGCAGGGGGACTTGTTCTGAGGACAGAGGCCACTTGGCACATCTTGCATCTTGTTAGCACAGCCTGCTCTGCTCAGCACCTGTTGGAGCCATTGGGTTTTTATTTTTTTATTTTTCAATTAAAAAAAAAAAGTATTTTTATTGATTTCAGAGAGAGAGAGAGAGAGAGAGAAACACCAGTGGCTCACCTGTTGGCACTGAGTGGTGTGTACCTGGCCAGGGATGGAGGAGAAATAGAGTGAAGGATGAATGGGATGGAGGAGGAATAGAGTGAAGGATGAATGAGACGTGCTGGGAAGGGGCAGTGAGGACGCTTGAGTCGCTGGACCAGGCCTTTTCCTTTATGTCTCTTACTACCTCGCCTTCTCCTGGAAAGGGTGCCGGAAAGATACATTGATGGGCTGCCTCCTGTACACCCCAAACCCGGCATGCGCCCTGACTGGGAGTCCAACCATCACCTCCTGGTTCATAAGTCGATGCTTAACCAGAGCCACTCCAGCAGGTGGAGCCACTGGGCTCGTAGAGTTGGTGCAGCCCCTGGAAGCAGGCAGGCACCCTGCTGCATGAGGTTCCGTGACAATTGATTCGATGTCTCTCTAGAACATCATGTTTTATGACATGGGCTCAGGCAGCACGGTGTGCACCATCGTCACCTACCAGACAGTGAAGACGAAGGAGGCGGGGACGCAGCCCCAGCTGCAGATCCAGGGAGTCGGGTAGGTGGGCCCTAGGAGGAGGCTGCTTGCTGAGAGACCCTCAGGTCGGGGGCCTGCTGGCGGGGGGGGGGGGGGGGGGGCAGCGGCCTCACTGTCCTGTTCCCTGTAGGACTGCCGTCTGGGTAAAGCGTTGTCCATCACTGTGGGTACTTCTGCCAGAGGCAAGGGGAGGGTGGCGGCAGGGAGGACAGTGGGAAGATTGAAAGGCAGGGAACCTACAGACTTCTAAGAAGACGCAAAGGCTGTAGGCTGTATGAAGGGTGTCAGAGTCAGTCTAGTCGCTGTCTCCCCAATTCCAGTTTACTTAAATAACTTATCACTGACATCATCTTATTTCTTGAATCCATCATTTTCCGTCCATCTCTGCCACTGCCATCCTAGTTGGGGCTCCCAGCATTCCAAAGGCCTGTTTCCGGTGTGGGCTCCTCCCCCGCTTTCACATTGTAGCCGGAGAGCTCTTTCCGGAATGCCAGCCTGACTATAAGGAGTTTCTTCAAAAACACTTCGGTGTCTTCAGACTTTCCAGGCTGTGCCAGCGTGCTCATCTCTCCCCTGAGCTCTTGCTCTCTGAGCTCCCACCATACTGGCCCTCGCTGGGATTGACCATGCTCTCAGGCCGTTCCTGTCCAGAATGTCTCTTCCTCTTTACTGGTTAACTGCACCCATCCCTCCGGTTTCAGCTTAAGCTCACTTCTTCACAGAACTTTCCTAACACCTCGGAATAGCTGGACTCGCTCATTGCAGACTAACAGCGTTGTCTGCCTCTCCTTTAGCCCGCGTGCGGGGTTAAATGTCCCGTTTCTCTGACTGCTGGACTGTCCCCTCCTTGTCTGCAGGAACCCGTCTTTCTCCTCCTCACAGTGACATCCCAGAGACAAGCACATAGTTGATGCCTCGTAAATGCAGTTGAATGAGTGGGCGGGTGAACTGTCTGTCCCTGTGTGGGTGGAGGGGGCCGAGGGGCCACTCCCACTCGCTCCTGTTGCCTCTCCTGCAGGTTTGACCGCACCCTGGGAGGCCTGGAGATGGAGCTCCGGCTGCGTGAGCACCTGGCTGGGCTCTTCAATGAGCAGCGCAAGGGCCAGGGTGCGAAGGACGTGAGGGAGAACCCTCGCGCCATGGCCAAGCTGCTGCGTGAGGCTAACCGAGTCAAAACTGTCCTGAGTGCCAACGCCGACCACATGGCACAGGTGCCCGCATGCCGCCGGGGGAGGGCAGTGTTCCTCACTCAGGCCCAGCCCTTCTCCCCATGCCTCCTGCTATCCTTGGGAAGTCCCGTCCCCTGACTCCGTCCGGCCGCCCAGGGAGCGGGGCCTGGGTGCGAACTCTGACCTCCTGTGCTCTCCAGATCGAGGGCCTCATGGATGACGTGGACTTCAAGGCGAAGGTGACCAGAGCGGAGTTTGAAGAGCTGTGTGCAGACTTGTTTGAGCGGGTGCCGGGGCCCGTGCAGCAGGCCCTGCAGAGTGCCAGGATGAGCCTGGTGAGGGGAGTGGGGGCGGCCCGGGCAGGAGGCCGGTGGCGGAGGGGGCGGCGCTGAGGAGGAGTCTTACCTGCCGCTCCGTCTCCCATCCCCTCTCCCTCTGCAGGAGGAGATTGAGCAGGTGATCCTGGTGGGTGGGGCCACTCGGGTCCCCAAAGTCCAGGAGGTGCTGCTGAAGGCTGTGGGCAAGTGAGTGCGGGCCAGGACTCGGGGCTGAGCCGCTGGAAGGCTGAGGGGAGGGAGGCCGGCCGGAGCTGCAGAGCACAGTCCTGACGCTCGGGGCTTGACAGGGAGGAGCTGGGGAAGAACATCAATGCGGACGAAGCGGCCGCCATGGGGGCCGTGTACCAGGCAGCCGCGCTCAGCAAAGCCTTCAAGGTGAAGCCGTTCATAGTCCGGGACGCGGCGCTCTACCCCATCCTGGTGAGTGAGCCGAGCGCTCGGCGGCCCTCCCCGCACTGTGTTCCTCTGTTCTGCCGGCCCGTGTTTCTCCCGCCCTCACCCAACTTGTTGCTTGTCCCCTGGGCCGCTCCACCTGCTCTGTAGGTTGAGTTCACCAGGGAGGTCGAGGAGGAGCCTGGGGTTCGCAGCCTGAAGCACAACAAGCGTGTTCTGTTCTCCCGGATGGGGCCCTACCCCCAACGCAAGGTCATCACCTTTAACCGCTACAGCCACGACTTCAACTTCCACATCAACTATGGCGACCTGGGCTTCCTGGGGCCTGAGGAGCTCCGGTGAGGGCTGGGCCGGCGGACGGGCCTTCCGGGGCGGGCTTAGGCCTCCGGGGAGCAGACTGTGGGGTTGGGTCGGGGTAGCATCTTCTCCCGAGCGTGTCCTGGGGGAGGGCCTCAGCCTCTGCCAGAGGCTGTGTGGTCAGAGCTGGAGACGGCTGGGTGGGTCCCCGGAACTGCTCCTCCTTTCTCCCACCAGGGTGTTTGGCTCCCAGAACCTGACCACAGTGAAGCTCAGAGGCGTAGGCGAGAGCTTCAGAAAGTACCCCGGCCATGAGTCCAAGGGCATCAAGGCGCACTTCAATCTGGACGAGAGCGGCGTGCTCAGCCTGGACAGGGTGCGCACAGGGTGCC